GGGCTGCTCCGATGAGGCGTCGGCAAGTTACGATGTGGTCCAGAGTGCTGAGTTTCCGACGAAAACCCGCTTGTTCTATGGGCTGGGCTTCTTTTAGTGGTCTGCGGATACGTGCCAGTATACAACGTGTAAACACCTTATAAAGTACTGGCAGAAGCGTGATAGGACGATAATTCGCTAGATCTTCTTTGTCGCCTTTCTTGAACAGCAGCACCGTTGAGGACTGCCGTTCGAACCGCACGTTCGGCCATGTAGCAAGTGTACAGCCTTGCAAGTGATCGACGAAGTGGGTCAACACTCTTGTAGGAGTTTTATGGTGATGCCGTCCTTTCTCGGCGCTTTATTTTTGCCTTCGAGGCATTGTTTCTATCGCATGGCGCACCTCCGATGAGAGAAAAGATAGCGATTCCTTCAGAATTGGTCTTCTCTCCCTAGCGCTTAAAGTTCCCATCTAAACAGGGTGGAGTAGAAGCTTGTCACGATTTCCTCGATTCTGGATATTGAGCAACAACTGAGTGCTTCCCCCAGTCCATTTTCGCTACAACTCTTGACATTTCCCAGCTTATTGCAATGAGTAGTGAGTAGTTCTTTACAAAGGGTCTACTGAAATTAATTTGCAATAATGATATAAAAATGTAGGGAAATAAGGATGGTACAAGAAATCGGGAATACTCTGACTGAATCAAATTTGATAGCTAACGACTTACTCAGGGTTCCAGAGCCTAACAGAAAGAAAATTATGGGAGCATGATAATGCAGTCGAAACGCTCACAACTGTACAAAGTCTCACTAGCAGTCGCACTGTCTATTAACTAGCACAGAAGTGTACGTACCTCTAAGACCCACAGCATTAGAACGAGAGAATGACACCGAATTGGCAACCAGTTGAGCTCAATGGCTCGTTCTTCCCATTAATAGGTTGTTTACGATAGAGTGTCATTCAGAATCTGCTTTTCCTTCCAAGCCATTTTGTAACATACGCATAACGTATGGCATTGATGGTCCACCAGGGCCATAACGTTGCGCATATGTCATGCATCATTTTTTCCAAGCACCAGGCATGGTAGAACGTAGCTTGATATACAGTGGCGCTCAAAAGTATTTGGCCGAATGCTTTTTCGACCGTAGCTTTCTTTCTGCCAAATCAAATCAGTTCAATTGATATGTTTTAGAGGCAAACCTTCTCCACTTAGCAAGTGTATTGCTGTTGAATGGGAGAAAGAATTTAGAAAGAAAAAAATTGTTACTTCAAAAATTCTCGGGTATGACCGAATTCCAAGTAGAATTTCAATTTATTGTAAAAAGCTTACAATTCAACAAAACAATCCAACCATAATAGAAACGTTAGCAGATTCAATACTTACATGATAACCTTCTGGAGTTGCGAAAACCTCAACAAGGTCTAAGTGTGGAATCAATCACTGATTCCACTGTCTATTGGGACAACCTCCTCAAATTTTCCTCAAATTGGACGCGTTTTCTTCCATATTCCTGACTCTTTCCTCCGCCGAAGGTTTCCTCGCCTTCTTCCATAGTGTTTCGATGACGCTCAGGAAATGTGGCTGAATTGGTCCCTTCATTAGTAGCACGCCATGCTGGCGAAACCACTCCTTCACA